TTTGGGGGGGGGGGGACATGTACCCATGTATCCCCGAGTTTTCCGCCGAGGTATCGGCGCTTCGGGGGGGGGGGTATACCCTTGTATCCCCGGGTTTTCTGCCGAGGCGTCGGTGCTTCGGCGTCCCGTGTTCGCGTGGCGTGCATCACCGCTGACGCTGCTGGCTCTCTCCGTGGAGATGTGGAGACCCCCGAGAGATGGCAGACACCCCGCACACTAGTCTACATGGTCATCATCACAACGTTCGCATGCATGCATACATACCCTAGGGGAAGCCGCAATAGCCCACCAGTCGCCCGTCCGTGTGGCCGATTGGTCGAGTCAAACGTAACCCTACAAGAAGACCAAGGCTATACGAGTAAATTTTCGAGACTATGTTCCGTGTTGTGCAGTGCTATAGATAGGGGAGGCGGCAAGGGCAAGTTTAAAAGACAGGTGGTTCAATGTGAAAGCTGGTCAATGACCTGTTCCAATTGAATGGACTGATTTCGAGCTTTTTGATCGATACTACTATCAATTACTCCTACTGCTGTGCTGTAGACTACTGCAACTACTGTACTTTCTTCGTACTTCTTGTTGTACGCGAACTAGGCTGCTTGTTTCCGTGTGTTTTCCTGTAGTAGCACGGTTGGGTGATGAGTGTGGGCCGGCATCGATAACGAGGAGGTAGATGATGCAGAACAGGTAACGAGAGTGTGGCACGTTTATTAAATCAATCTACTGCAACCTCATGGTAATTTTTCGACGATTCATGGTAACTTTTCGAATTTCTTCTCCCTCCGGGGGTGTGTGTGTGTGTGTCCTAGGTGTCCGGAATTACTTTTCGCACAGACCCTTGATGACGTTGCCCTTTGCCCCCTTGTGTGCTCGCTTCGATCTCGTCGCCGGAAATACAAGATGTGTCTTCCACAGAGCCATCGTTATCATCATCATCATCATCAGAGGCAGCCGTGCGCTGGGATCAGCCTACACGCAGAACAGAATGTACTTGCCGAACTACGATGATGGGGTGTACTTGTTGGGGCGATACGAAGGAGGTGAGAGAGGCGCTATGTAGGAGTATTGGAACGAGGATGCTGAGTACGTATGTACATAACATGCATGAAATACAACAACGTGATCTGGACTATACCTTGACGTGAACGTAATTTGTTGGTGTACAGAAGTAAACCACATCTTACGCCCTCCCTCCCATACGATGATTACTAGACTTCATGATGTATGTGACATGTGCATCCATGAAAAACCGCAGGCATATCCAAGCGACGAGGATGCTCCTTCAACAACACACGTCTTGCGAACACCGCCACCCGTACCATCATCATCGGATGCTCTCGCCAAAGAAGCGCTGAGTATTTTGAGCCAAGCGGAAAAGGACCGCATAATCTTGCTCATGCACGCGAAGCTACGGCACTTGGTGAGTAAGTGAGAGTGAGGTGAGAGCAGGGAGCAAAGCTGCAATTTTGTTGCCTGTGCAGGTGCTGTAGCTATCTATCAGTCTAATTGTTGTTTGGCTACAGGCAATCCGTGACAACATGCACCGTCTACATGAGTTTTCCAGTTCAAATGGCTTTGATTGTTCCTGGTATAGTCTAGTCAAAGCAGCGGTGTAGACTATGCTGTCTACAAGTATGCACACATGTGGTCTGGCACAGCAATTCATGTACCGAGAACCATTTGTTTGCGCAAGTAGACAGGTTCGTACGAACATCCAGTTGTTCGCATGAAGTGCGTCGAAATCCATACGAGGCTGCAGTGGAGTACAGGACAGCAGCCCTCTTTTCAAGGCGACCGCCGTACCACATCACCCTAGTTCCCTCACGCGTAGTAGTTCTTTTGAATCTCCACTGCTCTTCTCGACGCAACACGCATGCCAGAGTCATCGGGCGGAGGATGCACGCTCCGTCTCGGAGCGCAAGGTGTGCTGCCTGGAGAGGGCACACCGCGACGCCCTCCGGGAGCGTATGCTCTCCGAGCAGCGGTTGCGGGAAGAGCTGCGTCAATGGAAGCACCACCACCCTGAGGTGATATCTTACTTTTATACTTGGGGGAGGGACCGACATTCCGGGGGGCAGGTTGCAGCCATTCCGCCCCCGCCGGTGTTTTGTCCGGTTGAGGTTTCGTCCTATCGGCTCTTGACACGGGACATCGACCAAGGGGGGAACGGGGGTTGAGAGGGAAGGAGGGATGGAAAAGGCTAGACCTGCTCCTTGTTCGCACAGTCCTGATGGACTTGCCTACCTTTCCCCGGTCCTTCACATCAAACCCGTTTCAATAACCCCTCCTTACCGGCGGTGGAACCTCCGTCCGCTCGGTTGCGACTGCTGCTGCTGTCTGCGAAATGAAATTGCCAACTCTACCAAGGTGGCTGAGCTGAGGTTGGAGAACCAGCGTTTACGCGAGGAAAAGGACCACAGCCAGCGGCAATACTTGGCAGTCTTGGGGAAACTCGCCAGGAGACACACGTTGCTAAAGAAGTCGCTGTGATTGGACAGGGGGGGGGGGGTATTACCAGGAACCATGCCTGAGGGGGGCTGTTGCGCGGCGACCGTTAAATTTTTGTCCTGGATTGTCCACATCCCGAGTTGGCGTCTCCTCTACGGTGTTCTTCTAGTCAGTTGCGGCGCTTGCTTGGTGCCTTGACGACGCCGCTTGATATCGCCATACGGAATGTGGTAAGGTTGGATTGTTACGCTTCGGCCAATGTCCCGTCGGATTTTCCCTGGCTTCGGCCGATGATGGTCAACAACGTTTTCCATTATAGCTACTCGCGACGACGACGACCACCACCACCAACACTCTTGTATTTGAAGCCTTCCAGGGCCTGGTATGTTTACCGACGAAGATCATGCAGCAGCCTTCCACCCAGCAGACACCAGCCACGGATGAAAGCCCCGAGCATATCCAGTGCAACGAGAAAACATAGTCCAAGGAGAAAACAAACAATCTCGTACTTCCTTCGTTGGCTGGGTGACCGGCTGCGTACGTCTTCGTGGGCGCAATCCCATCCCGCCTTTCCAAACACTGCAGGGACGACGCCACATGCGATGGGCATGTACCCCGCGGCGGAGACAAAACGCAGGCGATTACATGTACTACCGCCAAATAGAGAACGGCTCTAGCAAAAACAATCATTTTGGATCGGATCGCAAGGTTGAGTGGTAGATGATGCCACGTCAATTTTCCCAAAGAACGGTTACCAAGATGCTGTGGGTAGATCGCGCTTACGGCGGGTTACTCGATCTGAAGCGCGCCGAACGAACTTTCGTCTGGAGAAATCTTTCGCTCGTCGCCGCTGTCGAGAAGACGCAAGCACTGCCGATACAAACTGACCTCACGCGCACTGCGGTAGTTAGCGCTGCCGCCATCGCTTCTATTTATTTCCCCCAGGCAGTTGACATGCCTCCACTCCACCGCCACCCTCTGCCCGCCATCCCGACTTGGGCCTCCCGGATATGACAGCAACACGTCGTGACAAGAAGAAGAAAAATACATCCACTACACTCGCGGGCTCCTCTATGAAAGCGCAAGAGAGAGCGTGCTACTTGCTCCCGAGGCCGCCGCCGCCGCCGCCGCCGCCGCCGCCCGCCACCTTCAGCCGCTGCAGCGCGCCCATCCCGCCCCCCTTCCCTTTGCCCGCCGCCGCCGCCGCTGCCTTTTCTTCCGCCAACGCCTCCTTCGCGCTGCCAAACACGGCGCTCGGGACCTCCTTCTGGGTGATCCGGATGTCCCCGTTGTCGTCGCCGCCGTCGGTGTCCTCCCTCCCTCCCCCCTCTTTCTCCTCTGCGGCGCCCCCTTGGCTCGCGCCTTCTTCTCGGTTGCCCCCACCCTCGCCGCCCGGGGCCGCCGGTTCCTCCTGCGTGGACGCAGATATTTTAGTGCGTACGGCGGTGTTATCTTTTCGTTCCACGATGGACAGGAGCATGTTTGCTAGAACAGGAGCATTGACTTCTCCGCGCAAATGTCGTGTCGGTCAATCGACGGAACTTCCAGCACGTGCATGTGCCGCGTGACGTTAAGTGCTGAGTACACCCCCCCGCCCTCTCTCCCGAGGACGCGTGGTCATTTCGTCCAAAAGCTAAGGCATGCAAACCATGATTACGCCCCCCCCCCCCA